TTGATCAGCGAGTAATAAAATTTTGAAAAGCGCATTACGCTAGTGCGCTTTCTACTTAAAGTAATTTCATTTTATTATGCCGCGCGTTATTGTGTATATTTAACTATTGTATAATATCCAGCGGAATTATAGAAATTCGAAAATTTAAGGGTTCGGAAATTGAGGAATTTGAAAGCGAAAGAACTTAACGTTAAGTAAATCTGAAACGATGAAAATTCGAAAACGTTATTTGAAAATTTGTAAATTCGAAAAAAATTAAAAATACGAAAATTTGGAAATGCAGGATTTGAAAATTAGTCGTTCGTTGAAAACGCTCGTTCTTTATTTCAGTCTCGTCTTTAATATTGACTCGTATTACCCATCTACGTTACAAGGAGATATTCTCTCGATGATGGCTAAGTCATCAATTTAAAGCAAACTATCATAAAGAATCTTACTAATGGAAATCCGCTGTAGTCGTTAAACAAGTTCCAGGAATGATGTAAACGATATCTTGACCAATTTGTCTAACTTAGTGTTGTAATTTTAATTATATTGTAATCAAGAACCTTGATAAAAACGTCATTAAAAATACACGCAGCCGTTTCACACGAATAAGGACTGACACCTATCAACTATCCCTGTAATTTTATTACAATTTATATTCCTATCCATTAATACAATTGACACTTCGAGAAATACCTGTCATTCCTCATCGACAGGGTTCCCATTAAAAAACTCGGACACTAAAAATATATCGCCTCCATACATTTTGTCCGTTTTCCGAACGAGCGAAAATTCATCTCGCAATACCAATCGCGACATACTTCGACACTCGTCGTTCGAATTTCGTTTCGCGACCAATGCTTGCCACCTTCGACAGAGCTGTCGCTCGTTAATTTTCAATCAACCACTCGTTCTCGTCCCAATGGCCCTGCAAAAGTCTCTCCGCCCGTCCCGGTCTTCTGGAGGCGTGTACATAACACATAATTGAAATGTGATTGAATTTTAATGTCCACGAGCCTCGATATTCGTTTCGCTAGGAAACCCGTAGTCCTAATTAGAGTCGTCGAGCCGCTTTTGAAAAGGCTCCCCCGTCTCTTCCAATCTCTCGACATTCTGCAACGCATTTTTCAACGCTACCCATGGGGACTTATCTTGATCACACCCGAGATATTAACGAATTCCGTGTTCTCCGTAATTACTGTCACCCGTGGCTCGGCAGCTAAAGTACCCACAATGCGAATTTCAGCTGCCACGTGTCCCCAGTTAATCGAGCTTGGCCGGTGAAAGGCGCATTTCTTTCACTAGAAATATCACGAGTCGCGTACACCTTATCGAAATTATCGGACAAACGGGTTACCGGCAGGCACGGATCTAAAGTAAGGAGTTAATGTCGCTTTCAACTGCGCTGTGGCAAGTGGCAATATTCGTGCCGAAGGTACACGAGGCTAGTGCTCCTCCGGGTGAATTTAATTAAGGGGCAAGAGGAGAGAATGGAAAAAAGGGGCAGAAAAAATTAATTCAATTTAACTTAATCTACCAGTCGATTATCTATATCTCGAACGCTAACACTCTCCCTCGTTGTCTCATAAAATTAACATAACTACCGATTAATTGCGAATTCTTTTTTCCCGATCGAGATATTAGTTCTGCTTTTATCCCGTGCAATTGAAAACCCGTAGTCCGGAACGCGACTCGCTCGTCGATCGAATAAATCCCATAAATTACGAGACAAACGAATTTAATTCGATTTCCGATTCCAGCGTTCCTGCTCGACGTTTATTCCATTAAGCCCATTTCACACGTATCTGGCTGGTTATCCGTGTTAGATACGATGCTCTTCGTACGTTTCAAACTCGCGTCCACTAAACGAATGGTGCGCGAGGTATATAGAATTGGGAATATACAGGGTATCCTGAAAATCACGGTAGCACCTCATTTTCCTAAAAAACGAAGCTTTAAATGAAAAAGTCGTAGTAACTATATGTATTATTGAGATAAAATTGTAGGTAAAACGTGGTTGGGTGAACAGTGATGTATATGAGATGAGAAAAACAACTTGAAACAACTCACTTCGCGATTTTCTCTCACCTCTGACTACTAAGCTTGATACAGCTCTATCTCCTCGAGAAGATCGTGGATCGTCTCTCGTTTCTATAATTTTTTCCTTAAAACTCCTGTCACCCGCTGGATCACCAAAAATATTGCACTGTAATGTTGCAAGCATTGGATTGTAACGTTGCAGATATTGTAAACTGTTCCGAACGAACGTTTCTCTCGATGGATCTGATTTTCATCGTGTCCATTCGCTTTCACTGATTTTCTCTTTTACGACCCTTTTCCGCTCATTTTTATTTTTACCTTTCATTTAAAACTACGTATAAAATTGCTCGCCCAGTTGTATCGCTATTTCCTATACACCCTGTACCCCCAACATCCCTGCGATATTAAACGCTCTCGCCACTGTCGTGTAGCTGACAGATAGAAATTTACTATTAACGAGACGAGTTAAAAACAAAATTCTGTCACACGAATCTCTCACCAACCTCTGTTTACCTTCACTGACTCGACACGTTGTCAGATATGCGATAAATTCGATATACTTCGACACCGGGTATCTGGCGTGCAATATCAGAGAACATTCCAGATTCTACGCAATAGTAATCCAGTCTCTGATCACCGAATAGACACGTGAACTATCTCGAGTATATACGTTTCACAGAGGGTAAAAACTGGCAACCGGATGCTGAACACCGAACAGATCCGTCCGGTCTGCGTGAAAAGGTCCTTAAGCTAGAGGGTCGACCACTGGCGAGTAGCGGAATTATTAGAAAACCGGATGTGACTCGCGATTTAAACCTGATTTACGACTTACCGTCACCTGGGATACGCACGCTTGCGAAATTCACCGTTTGGTCTCGTTGGCGATAATTTCGGCGCGTAATTTCTCGCGCAGCGTTAGCTAGGGGTAACCATTAGCCGGAGTATCCTGAGAGCAGAGGGATTACGGAGCGGCCATTTCCACTGGAAACCGATTGCCTCGGTACGTGGGTGTTGCCGGGATAATGACGTCTCTGGACATTTCAGATGCCCGATTTGGCACGACTTCTGACGGTCCGATTCCCGTTCACCGACAGCTGCTCGCGATTGCTCCTTTCAATCTCCGACAGGAAATTCCGTGTCGAAGTCTCAAACACCGAGTCGAACGCCGCGGGATTTGATTTCGCGAAATGACTCCTAAGACTGCAGTAATTCCGCGTCCGTGAATACTACGGAAAGGAATTGCTCGTGAAATTGTTTCCCGTTTATGTTTTTGCTGATTCGACAAGGATTTTACGAGATTCTTTAGGAGATTTGAATTTCAGGTATTTCAGGAGGAATTTTTATTTCGGTGCCACGATGGAGATATAAAACTAAGAAGGTAGGGAGTGGAATAACAGCGGATATTGACGGGTTAGGTTGAGACTTCTGTAGTTTGGAATCGAAGAATTGGAAATAGCAGCTTTGTCAGAAATTCAGTTCCTTATGAAGTAAACTAGGAGACCATTGTGATTTTTCCGCTTTAAACTAAATTAAATGATACACCTGGAACTTCCAATTCTTTGTGAAAGTAAACAATCTACTGCATTTCTGAAAGAGGTTCCGAAGTTCAAAATTTCAACGCTATCTGTAACATAATCTCCAAGATATTGCCTGTATATCGAAATCTGCCTAAATAACGATACATCCATCTTTACTGTATGTAGCAGTCGTTGCCATCTGTCAAATAGTCGATCGTTTATTAGGCATGCCAATGTGTGCTGCTTTTACACCAATTTAACAGCAAAATTTTCCTTCCTCACCTCGAAAACTAATAATTGCCAAAGATATCAAATTTCGTGTTTCGCGTTCAGCCACCCACCTTAGCATCTCTCTGAAACTTCAAATCTACCGATCACTGAAACTCCACCGAGATAATCCATCCATGGTACCAATAACCGACGAATACGTACGATCTACGTCCATTGCATGAGGCGAAGTCGCGATCAGTGCACGGTGGAACTCGAATCCCGCCTGGTCGACCCAATCATCCGGCCATCCGTGTTCCACTGCTCGCGACATTTCGAAATTTGGCTAGTGTATCGGATGTACAGTACATTAACTTCGTGACAAAGTTTTCCAACGGTAAATAGCGCGGGATCTCGAGTAATTTATGAAGCTACCGTTCTACCGTTCTACCGATGACACAATCCCTAGTTGACCGTTCTCTGGGCCTCGTAGACGCGTCGCGAGGCGCGGAAAGGCGCAGAACGCTTTTAAATTATGCCTGTAACACGATAAGCGGAACGGTAATCGCTAAATAAAGAAGACTACGAACGTCTACCGCGTTTTTGCACGCGGACGTTGGAATGGAACTGTTCCGTGCCGTGATCCTGGCCAGGCTACAGCCTCGAGTAAATAAACGAACTTGGACAAGAAAATATGGAGTGACGCGGACACGAGCGGGCATTTATCAGATTAGCATATACGCGCACTTTTCGTAAGAGTGAGCGGTGAATTAAATTTGCGCTTGTAGACACGATCTAAATGAACGGCTGCCAAGAATATCGCTGTTCGTTAATCTTTCCTAACGTCCAGGATGTATTTCCTTAATCGGCGCTTACCGCTGAATTTATAATTACTAGCCACTACCTGGGCTCGGATAAAGCGCTCCCGTGTGCTTGCAGGTGCACAGATCTTTCCGATCACGGAACACGGAGAAGGAAGTAGCACGCCACCCAATACCGGTGCAATAAAAACGCTTTCTTCGTATAAAAAATCCTCGTTTTATTACTTTCATACACGTTTAACGATCGTTCAACGATCCAATCGTTGACAAATTCTTACGTTTCAATTAAGCAAACGGTAGATGAAGAGTTCGACAATTCCGACGAGACTCCGCATTCGTTATCCCTGACAGTTTACACGGATTTTGGGCACACTTTTCCTGGTTTGACAGCCCCGTTCGACCTTCTACCGCGTTGTGCCAGCGTAGACCCGATTGCAGGTGTTCAGGGGACCAATCGGTCCGACCAGTCTCGACTTTCGCTTCTATCGATGTTACGATATTTAGGTTTGCAACGAGGTAATTCGACGAATGTTAGAACCGGCGTGTCACTCGACTCATTGTAATCAAGAAAAGCCTTTTGTTCGGTTTGAAACTTTGGAATCTTTATTGAACTTCATTCTCATCTTCCCTATCAGGGATTCTGCGACGAACCGCCATCTCGATGGTCGACCCGTCGAAGATCATCGTCGATCCGACGCAGGGATTGTCTCCAGTCGTCGACCATGTCAGCATACGCGTCTACCAGTCGGATACAGTGGAACTCTTTGGTGTCCAGATACGGAACAGCACACGTGCCAGTCGTCGTCGCTTTCAATCGCAGCCCTGTCCATCCTGATTAGCCACCTTGCAATCTAGTCGTCACCACCGGTCATGACTTCCATAAACTCTGTAACGAGAAATCGGAATTAATTCGCGGAATCGTGCAATCGGCACGTGACACTACGTCTCGAGCCGGAAGTCCGGCAAGGTTTCAAAGGTGTTCGATGGTTGGCGAATAGAGAAGCCTGCTTCCCGTTTGTTTGCCCCGAGTGAAAATGCTCGAACTCGGTAGACGACAAGCGTCAATTAATTAACTGGTCTGATGGGTTCTTGGCGAACGGCGTTCCCTGTAATTTGCAATGTGCAGCACGATTTCCCGCGTTGGCTGCACCCGACATACCGAGCTTCCAGTTCGCGTCGGTAATTAGATTGATTGACGTGCTATGAAAATCTAGGGTGCCGCCTACCGTCGAAGTCCAGCGTTCCCGAGCCGTCGGCGTCGATCTCCTCGATCATCATATCCAGCTCCTGTGGTGTTAATTTGTCGTCGAGCTCGTGAAGAATGTCGCGGAACACCGCGGTGGTTATATACCCGTTGCCCTCTTTGTCGTACAGTCGGAACGCCTCGCGTAGCTCTTGTTGCATGGCCTCCGAATCCTCTTCAACTAGGAACCGAGCAGCCAGGGTGCAAAACTCCTCGAACTCCAGTTGTCCCGATCCTGTCACAGACGAAGACGTTCGGAATGATATTTCGCTGGATCATTTCGGCAGAGTTGATAGATTCTTACCATCTTCGTCGACCTCGGTGATGATTTCCTTCAGCGTCTTTTCGCTGAGCTCGTAGCCCAACATGGTCAGTATGGTGCCCACCATGTCGGTACCGATGCTACCCTTTTTGTCGTGGTCGAAGGCATCGAAGGCCTTCTTCAGGACTGCGAAAGATTCAATAGCGTTCGATGAATCGTACACTTAAGGATAATTGGTTATAAACGAAGCAAAAGCGACTACTCACGAGCAATTTGATCCTTGGTCAGATCATCCTGAAATCATCACCAAACTAATGTATTTATTGCAGCACAGTATATCACGATTCGCTATGAGATTTGAAGCGATGAGGGTGAAAAATTTATTCGAAATGCACGAAAGGGGTATTATTAACGGTTGATGCTTGAGGATCGGTAGCGTTTACGTTGGATCGCTTTTCATAACAACGCACCATGACGAAGTGATCGTGAGATGCACGGCCTTAGAGACTGGTGTTAACACACGAGAGCGTCGACGGCTTATCCGGGTATGCACCAGATTCTGGCTGTGGACTTCTGTTTTATGTGGACATTAGGATGATCTTCTGGCACGTGATTGACCGGGTAATATCTACGTAGGAACTCTAGCGGTTTTCAAATTCATCGAGGACACTCCCCACTCTCGGTTTCCGCGGAAGTGGGGCTTCAATTGTGCGAAATTCGAGGCAACGTACCCGATTTCCTCGTCTATCTTGGATCGCTGCATTACCGCTATCGAGCCGGTACTGCAACGAGTCGACGAAAGCCATTCTAACCCGTTGATAGTATTCCTCGATTTTCCAAATGAAATTAGATTCAACTAGATTCCGGTTCAACCGAGGAAACGTTTCCAAACATTCAAATTATTCCAAGTTTCTAACATGGGTCGTTACCTAACGCAAAAATATTGTTATTCCGTCGATTCCTAATTCCGCCAAGGTAAGATAACGGAGTTTTCTACATTTTTATATAATTACGAATAATTTTCGTTAAATTTCCGCGATTCCTGTTTGCCTCGTTCCCGAATTTACACGGCAGATCTTACGCTTCGGCCATTTGTGAGTCAATCGCCAGCGGATTACGTCAGCCAGCGTCATATTATCGCTATCGCGATCACGAGCATAGCAGCACGTCCAGGAGGGTTACGCTTGGTATTTTGTAAAAGCTCGGTTTCGCAAGAAATTCCCGCTCCGCCCGGTTATCGGAGCTTCGGCGCCGCCATGTTGGCGATACACGACCAATATGGCGGAGAAGAGTGGCGCGACAATAGGCGAAGTTGGCTCGAGGCCGGATATTGTACCGTCTTCCGAGACAATTCGGCGTAATAAACCTATCCGTCGTATTCTTAGGCAGCTAATTATACGCTCATAATGCCTCGCGCCTGCTATTATATTTTCGGGATATTAGCGCCGATTCTGGCATTTTGCTCGTTTCCATCTCTCGCTACGTATTGTTAACCCGCCGCGCCGAAAATCCTGGTTCACGCGTGCGAACTAGCAGGGACCAGAAGCATGGACCAGTCTTGCAGCTATATTTGCTAGAACTCGAGGGCACACGTGTTATTACTCGAACGGGCTCGAGTGTTTCTTATAATACACTCTCAACGCGATATTGCATTTAGTTCAAGAATAGTCATTTCCTTGGTTTCCTTGGGAATCGATTCGCGGGACGAAATAACGCTCGCGAACAGGGTTTGCTCTTTCGTTATCTTCCTACGATATCGCTGATACTATTTCTAGAAAGAATTGTGCGGTGGATCCAAGAGTCAACGACACTGTGATAAACAGAGAGGTAAATAAACGAGAGTAATCGAGTCTGCTATTTTTTCTTGTTCCTTTATTATACACGCAATCTTACGCAAGTTAGCTTAGACTTAAATTTACATTCGTATGATTACATTGGTTTGTCGTGTTGTGTATGACGATGGTTAAAGTGGATCGTAGCAAAGCACGAAGTTCGTAAATCCCTCGCAATCTCGAATCGCGCGTAAAATATAACCCAATGTTAGCCGATCTCCTTTCAATCGACGGCTCGTTAAAGCCACTTCACGGTTTATTTTCCGTGCAATAAACTCGCGGAAACGTGAACTTATATCCGTCAATACAAACCCGTTTCTAGAAGCCATGCCTCGCTAGGGGCCCGCGTGGCTGCCGTTTAATTCCGGCATAGATAGAAATACATTTTAGCCGATTGTGAGTCCAAAGGCGACGGACAGGGCAGAAATACTTTCTCAGCTATATCCACGTCTGGTTCGCCTCCCTAACAGACATCACCTACGAACCTTTAACTTCATACTTTGCCAACAGTGTCTCGATAAATCGTAGCTTCCACGTGTATAGGACAGGCGGTATCGTCGTTTGTATGCGTTCTCGTGGCGACCGCCTCGTGCCAAGGTGATAATTTAGCCTGTCATGACCTCCATGAATTCTGTAACGTGAAACGAGCTTCGTTCGATATTTCGTACACACGGATTTTCAGGGTTACGCGATCGCTTGGTCGGATCGGTCTACATGCTTCCAAGACACGTACCCTCGAAGTCCACCGTTCCCGAGCCATCAGCGTCCACTTCATCGATGATCATGTCTAACTCTTCCGGAGACAATGCATCGTCTAATTCGTGAAGAATGTCTCTGAACACGTCGGTGGTGATGTAACCGTTTCCTTCCTTGTCATACAGTCGGAAAGCTTCTCGTAGTTCCTGCTGCATCGCCTCTGTGTCGGTGTCCTCCTCCATGAATCGGGACGCCAGGCCGCAGAACTCTTGGAAACTAAATTCTCCGGATCCTGAGATAGAGGGAGAGAGAGAGAGAAAAAGGGAGAGTTAGGTGGTTGCCATGGAATTTTTGATCGAGTGCTCTTGCGCTCTCGGAATTTCCCAATTTGGTCGACCAACAGGTTTAACGATTAAATTGCAATGTCTTCCTTCAAAATGTAAATGTAACAAACGTCTGTTAATTTATTTATTCGATAGTTTAATTCCGTCCTAGTTTCCATCTCTATCGATGGGAATAGGATGCAGCTATCAATGTCTCGATGGTCGGGTTATAGGTGCCCATAATCGGGCAAATGATACCATAATGGCACCATTGGTGTACAAAGAGTTAGGTCTGTTGGTGGACCGTGAATCGTAGATTTATAATTAGTCGATTTACCGAAAGGGTCGAACTCTGATATGACCAATAGTAACTGGTCAGATGGAATTTTCATGCCCATCATGCCCAAAATAGTACCGACCGTGTCACTGGAGATGGTCCCCTTCTTGTCGGGATCGAACGCGTCGAATCCCATTTTGAGTTCTGTGAAATTCAAATTACGAATGTAGAAAATTTTGCTTTAAAACTTTATGCAGGTTTATATTAATTTTCTAATAATAATAATAAAAGATAATTTTATTATTCGTTTATGTGGAATTTGGTAGCCTGAACTCACGTGCAATTTGGTCCTTGCTGAGTTGAATATCATCCTAAAAAGAAAATAGAAAATCTATTCATCGTAATGGAACTATTAAACGTTCTTAACTAAATAATAAAGATCACTCAAACTTTACTATATGTCGTATTATAAGAATAACGTTGGGAAATTGTTACTGTAGCACATAATTGTTGTTTAACGTCTCATTTAACTTGGTAAAGCAATAAGTCACGTTCAATGGTTCAATTTTGATAATTACCATTATGTCGGCGAATCGATATATTAAGAAAAATGTTCGTCCAATTAATCACAGGTATCACAGAGGTAAAGGATTAACAGTTCTCGTCTAAGCAATCGCTTCTGAACAACTTACTGTACCGATCGAGATGTCACACTGAGGCTTAGTAAACTAATTAGTAGAGCTGCACGGACGCAATCTCGCATTCTTATTAGCGTCGATAGATAATCACCAATCATCTGTCGATCTAAAGGCACTATAAAAAGATTCTTAATCGGGACCTTTTCATGTATCATACTTTGCGAAACATGTTGCCCGCTGATGCAATAAATGAATGACAAACTACGTTGGCGTCCAAATCGATTGCTCTTTCCTTATTGTATAATTGTTTACAATTATCATTAATAATAATATAGGTACCTTATCGGTAACAACCTTCGCTAACTATATCCGTGCAGTCACTTTTCGGCTGGCCATAGTTGTTTACCACATTTCAATCGAATAAATCTCGCGCAATTGACATCAAATTGGAAAGAAACCATTCTGCCCCTCTACGCAGCAGTGGTGAATTTTCTAATAAATTTAAAATAAATTTTGGTAAATTTTTCAATTTTCTATTAAAGACATATGAAACACGATATTCTTCAAGTTCCCTCGATCGTCTCCAAATGTAGCGTAGTCCAAAAATCGTCAAAAGGTATACCAAAGTCAAAAATTGTAAAGGGATATACTACAGTGAAAAATGGTGGAAAGATATGTGAGAGAAAAGAAATTATTTCTCAATGGGAAGAACAAAGACGATATACGGCGATGGAGACAATGCAACGTAAATTTCATCGTGATTCATGCCGATGTCGCGCAGTCGATTTGCCACAAAGGAGGAAATGGGCCGCGTAATACGAAGTTACATCACTCGGCAATGTCAAGCTCACGCAAATGCGGAACTACGATTGGCAGCGGGCGTAGAAAGCCGGTGACGCGCCGTTGCGTATAGCCGGACATTTCCACGGCACCCGGTGGGCGAACACGCAAACGGTTATACTGATTGCAGCGGGCTCCAACAGTACAGCGGTTTGATATTGGCATTGCGTCCTTTTAGAGGATTGCAGTGGATTGCCAGTCCCGCGAGCGGGCAAAAAAGCTCGGCTGGCAGCCGCTTCTGAGAAGCAGACACGAAGCTGACTGACCTCCTTAGCCAATCAGATAGAGAGCTTCGACGAGTTACGCCGAACTACTGACCTAATGATCAAAAATAGACGCCGGAGCGAGGACCTGGCCAATGATAATAATCGGCGTTCCTCGGAACGCGGCTATTTCGCGCTGATACGGTGGACAATAATCAAACGAGACAGCTTTTTGGCCAAACCTTTATTTCCGATTATCGACATACCAAGTGCTCTAGGCTATCGGATTATACTCTCATCATTGAGATTGACATTGACACGCGTACGATCGGGCAGTGGGCCAGGTTCAACGGAATTCGATCCAACTAGGAGGGAATCGACTCGTTTCGGGTTGCAAGACGTGTAGTACGTCGGTAAACGACTCTACGATCGTTACTCAATTGTTGTAAAACAGCTCGTGATCTAATACGCGTGAGATCAGAGGCGGCTAAATTAGACGGTGATTGCCTGATATTCGCGGTCGTCCTTCGCGTCCACCGCTTTGGACACCGAAGGGATCGAGTGACAGGGATGAGGTGGTAACGGTGGAGCGACTAATTTCCCCTTCTCCAGTTCGCTCTTCATTCTGCTTAGCCTCCAGGAATCTAGCTGAGACTCCGTCGGCTCCACGTTGGACACGTAACTAATCCCGTCGCTCTGCATGCTCGTGCTGGATCTACTCGGTGGCCAGACTCTGATCGGGGGCAAAGGCGTAACGTAGCCATCCTCTGGCGACCTGCCGATATAACAGGCCGTGTTCGCTTGCCTCTGCTCCTTCTCGTCTATGTCGACTCCCTTCGGAAGCACAATGGCGTCCACGCTACGCTGCTTCACCAGGATCACGCGTTTGTTTCCGCGTAGCAGCGACGGGTGTCTCCTTATCAGCAGGACCGAGAGCACACCGC